TAATCTACTTTCCCGAAAAGTAGATAATCTACTTTTCAGGAAAGTAGATAACCAACATTCCCGGAAAGTAGATATTTCCCATTTTCTATGATACAAATTTCCCGTTTTCTATGATAAGTAGATAACCAACTTTCCCAGAAAGTAGATATTTCCCATTTTCTGATACAAATTTCCCGTTTTCTATGATAAGTAGATAACTAACTTTCCCAGAAAGTAGATATTTCCCATTTTCTGTGATTAGATGTGGAGGAGGGATTGGAGTGTGTGGAGTTGGAGAGTGCAAGGTGTGGAGTGTGTCGAAGTGGAAGATGTGTAGTTGTAGGGTGGATGTGGAGGGTAGTGTGTGGATGTGGAGGGATTGGAAGGTGTGGAGTTGGAGTGCAAGGTGTGGAAGTGGAGGATGTGCAGTTGAAGGGCATGGAGGAGGGATTGGAGGGTGTGGAGGTAGAGGACGTGCATTGAAAGGCATGGATAGGTGGAGGGCAGAGATAAACTTGTGCAGGGTAGTGTGGACATGGAAGTGGAGGGAGGAAGGGTTGAGGGTATGAAGGTTAGAGGCAGGGATTCGATGGTGTGGAGGTGGAGAGTGGATATTGAGGGCAAGGAGGTGGAGGGTGTGGATGATGTGCAACTGGAGGGAGGTGGGTGTGGAGTTGGATAGTGCAGGGTGTGAAGGATATGCAGTTGGAGGGTGTGGAGGGCATGGAGTTGAAAGGTATAGGGGTTGGATGTTGTAGAGGGTGGAGGATGTGCAATTGGCCTGAGCAGTGGTTAGAGGGTAGGGTGAGGAAGTGCAATTGAAAGGAGAATGTGGAGAGTGCAGGGTGTGGAGGTGGAGGTAGAAGGGGTTTGAGTGTGGAGGTGCAGGATGTGTAGGGAGGAGGGGTTGGAGGAGTGCAGAGGTTGATAGAGCAGGATGTGGTGGTGGAGGGTGTTGGGGTTGGAGGTGGAGAGGGTGGTGAGGTGTGAGGGTAGGGTGTGGAGGTAAGTGAGGTGGGTGGTAGGGTGTGGAGGATGTGCAGTTGGAGGGAAGGGGGTGTGGAGGTTGGAGAATATGCAATATGAGTGAGGAGGGTGTTGAAGTGGATGGAGGAGGGTGTGGAGGTGGAGGATGTAAGGTGTTACGAACCCCTCCACCAATTGTCATGATCTACCTACCCAGCACCACGAGCAACGCCATCTAGGGACGAGACCCAGTATGACTCGTCTTAGTTACCACTCCGGGGTTTCCCTTCTCCATATCCTGGTTGTTGCGTCACCTCCTCAAAGTCTTCTTTGTCAGCTCCAATTCGAGGAGAGAGGACTTGGCTCTGGGAAGTGACCACAGGATCACCTATCCTGGAAACCTACGGCACAGTGACTACCTACCATCTTCTACAATACTCAGCCTTACTCGTCAGCCATCTCAGCTCCTCACTTAAGTACACCTAGACCCCGACTTACGACTACGTGGACTTACGACCGTCGGGACTTACGACCGCCTCAGATATAGATAAAAAAAAAAATAAATAAAAAAATTTTAAATGACACACGCATTTTCTATACCGAAACGTTTCCAGTTAATGTAGTCTCCATGTATAATTAGAAAATTATGGGGGCCCCATGTGCATTCAGCTGACTACATTAAAGGTTAAGTGCTCAGTCACACTGTATCCATTCCTTATTATTTATTACTTTCACTGTACTGTATCCATTCATCATTATTCATTACTTTTACTGTACTGTATTTCATTGTAGATTTTTTATTAAAATTTTTTTTTATGTCGGACTTACGACCTGGATTTGGGTCCCTAACCCAGTCGTAAGTCGGGGTCTAGGTGTATTTGTAATGTTGTATTGCCTCTCCCACCTCCACCTTGCTTCACGATTGTTTTATGTTGTATTAATATGTATATACTGTTAATGTTTAGGTTAAGTATGGTTAAGGGTAATTTATAGGAAGCTGAATATTTTGTTAAGGAATTTATGGTACTTTATTATACACAACGAAAACTCGCATCCTTTGTCTACCCTTTTATAGTCCGATTGTCTTTGTTTTTTTTATTGTTGTTACCTGTTGGGATCTGGGTAGACTTTTAACTATATTCTAAATCCCCAACTCGTAACAAAGGTGTAAAGGTGGAGGATGTGCAGTTGGAGGGAAGTGGAGGTAGAGACAGATGGTGGAGGGCAGAGAGATGCAGGGTAGTGTATGTGGATGTGGAAGGTGGAGGGAGGCAGGGTTGGAGAGTGGAGGCAGGGATTGGAGGGTGTTGGGAGGTGTAGGTGTGTAGAGGTGGAGGGTAGGGAATTGGAGGGTGTGGGGGAAAGACTGTTGGATGATAGGGTGTGGAGGATGTGCTGTTGGAGGGAGGAGGGTGTAAGGAGTAAAGGTGGAGGCAGATGGTGGAGGGCAGAGATATGCAGGGTAGTGTGTGGACATGGAGCAGGGAAGGGTTGGAGAGTGTGAAGGTGGAGGCAGGGATTAGAGGGTGTGGAGATGGAGGGTATGAAAGTGGAGGACATGCATGGACGGTAGGTGGAGGATGTGGATGTAGAGGTTCTGCAATTGGAGGGAGGAGGGTGTGGAGTGGAGGTAAAGGATATACGGTTGGAGGAAGTGGAGGTGGAGGATGTGCAGTTGCAAGGAGGAGGGGGGTTGGAGGGTGTGGAGGGGCATGAGGGTGTAGGGAAGTGGGTGTGGAGGTGAAGGGAGGGAGGGTGTGGAGTTGGATAGCTTGGGGGTTGAAGGGCTGTAGTGTGTGTGGAGGCTGTACAGTTGGAGGGAAGAGGAGAGGTGGAGGTAGAGAAGAGAGTGGAGGGTGTAGAAGAGGTGGGTGGAAATGTAGTTTGAGGGTGGAGGATGTGCAGTTGGAGAGTATGAAGGTTAAAGGAGGAGGAGGGTGTGGAGTTAGGATGTGGAAGAGGGGGTGAAATTTGGGGTATGGAGGTGAATAGTATGAAGTTGGAGGATGTTGAGGTGAATGGTATGAAGATGGAGGGTGTTCAGGTGAATGGTATGAAGTTGGAGGATGTTGAGGTGAATGGTATGAAGATGGAGGGTGTTCAGGTGAATGGTATGAAGATGGAGGGTGTTCAGGTGAATGGTATGAAGTTGGAGGATGTTGAGGTGAATGGTGTGGTGGAGGGTATGAAATTTGGACTTAAAGGTGAGGTAATAATGGTGGAGGGGACTAGATAGAGGTGATGCTTAAGTGTACAAGGAATTATCGTACAGGTATTCTTGATGAGGCATTACTAAAATATATGATAGCAATGCACTCTACAATTTGCATGAAATTGATGGAAAAAATCTAAATTTAGACTTAAAACTGTTTGAACATATCTCCTTACCCCTTTCATATTATTAAAAAAAAATCCTCAGAATCTTGTATGATTTCTCACCAAGATCAATAAAGATGAAGAATGATGACAATTTCACATTACAGAAAGTTTATTAATGGAGTAGACCATTACATATGATACAGCATGTACATCACAGAACTGATAAATTGGTGAGAAGTTAAGAACGCTGGGCTGGTCACACAACGAGTCCAGGGAGACACATATATATATATATATATATAGACAAAAAAAATACAAGTGCAGACAGAAAATGTAAGAAATAATGGATTGAGAACCTTTCAGAAGAATGTGTGAAAATAATTAGGACAACTGACAAGGTTAAATCTTGTTCAGTGCAAGTTAATAGTCTAAAGAGAATAGTAAACATATGTAAAAGATTAACAAAAATAATCCTGCCTCAAGTTAATGATCACAAAAGATTGTACAGCAGCACCTCGAAGGAGCTGCAACCAGCCCGCGCCAGCCCACGCGGTTTTTGGTTGGCCCAGCCCCACCCTCCATACAGGAGGACACCCTCTCTATTCTGCCATTCTCCACGCTCCTCGCTAACAAGCAGTAGTGGCAAGGCACTGTCTCTTGATCTTCATGTGGGTTTCATATTAGGTTAGGGTTTGAAATTGATCTACTGATAACATCAGTAAGAAAAAGAGATTTTGGTAAAGTAGGTGATGTAGAAGCTGTAGATTTATTGTTGATAATAATGATTACCGAGTGCTGGAGCAAGGAATCTAGTTTGTGTCTACAACTTGCAGGATTCACGTGATTCAGGCCAAAAGGGGTAGCACTGAGAGCCGTAAGTTGTTGTGGGGTGGCCGGGGATTACGGCAGGAGGGGGGCACAGAGAAGGGCTACTGAGGCTAAGCCATACCTCCACCCTGGCCAGTAACAGTAACAACTCTAGAAACAATGCTGGCAGAGGATAGCTAACTGGAGCGGTTGGCCATCAAACTGTTCACCTTTCCACATTGGTAGAAAACCTTGGATGTTCAGATGGAATGCATCACTCCATTTTATACATATTGTATAAGATACATTTTTACATATAATACAGTTGAAAACGTCCTACGTACACGCTAGTGTGGCCTGGATGACAAGGTTTAGCGTTAAGGCTTGAGGGACTGTTTCCCTGATCTGGCAACAGTGGATATATGTGTTAAAGAGAAAGCTTGTTCGTACAATGAAAGGTATAACAAGTGATAGAAGTTTGGATGAGAAGACAATAATTAAGGGGAAAATAAGAAATGAAAACTTTAGAATTGAGAACCACAAGAATTGCCGTGTCAGGGGGAAGCAAGCCCCGCAGCCAATTAGCACACCTCTAGGCTAACTACACTAATACAAACAATACAAAAATTACACGAAACTGTTTAATAACTGCTAATATCAACAGACATGGTGCAAACACTTCAACATTAACAAATTAATGTGAAGTCTGAACAAGATTACATAGTTTGAATGAATATATGAACACAATAAAAAACTTCAAAGAGAGAAGCTAGTGCCAAAAATTGGGTCAAAGGACCATGTCCGTCTACATCTAAGGCAAACAAAGGTTACAAATATGAAAATGTACATAGATGTACAGTTTTGACAACTGGGTCCCCTAATCAACTCTGAATTCAAGTACATTATTTAATGACATTATGTTTTACCTAGTTAATTACAGAACCAAGGAGCCAATTTGGTGGAGAGAGCATTTCCATGGAGAAGAGTGAAAATGTTTTAATTTTAATTTATGCTACTTAGATCTAAGGCAGATTAAAACTGTAAATATGAACTATGAGTGAAGACCCAAACCAAGATGGCAGACTACAAGCAAGGCATAAAAGGACCAAAATTTTTACATTTCACATCTTCCCCGCAGGAACTGTGAGATCAAGACAGTAAATATTACACCAACTACTGTTAGCTTAGGACATATACAAAATACAGTTTACAAGAAAATTACATCTACATATGTAATATACAACTAGTGCTCAACAGGCAGGTACAGGCCAAGCTAAGATCTTGCTTCATAATCAGTATGTACAATTTACTATACAGCAGTAACACAGCTCAGAAGTATATCACCATGTGCTCTGTACAATATGGCGTTTACAAAAGGTACATGTTCCAAATGTACACATCAGCATTTTCTGTACACTAATTTATTACAAAATGTTACATTACAAGCCGCAATATTGGCCTCACAAAAAAATTCAATAATATTCACAGAATTTACAATTTGACAATGTTAGGTCTTTTGGCAAGGGCAGGAGCTCTACAGTATAAACACATGGGCCTGTTCCAGCCTGCAAGAGCTCAAGTACAGGGATACAAAGATACAAGATTAACAGCTATTAACACTGCTCTTCATTCTCATAAACCAGTAAAGCACATTTCCCAGTGCAAAGGAAAAAAGCCACTTGGTTCAGTCTGCATACAGGTCCAAGAGAATTTAAGCAGAATAATGGTTTTAACCCAGAAAGCTGGGCTATTTAGACCTGGTGGCCAGCTACAAGAGTAACGGAGGAGAAACCACTGAAATGTACATACAGTATTCTGTTGATGGTGAAAAGGCTATTTCCACCTCCTCATCCTCATGAATGCCAGCCCCAGGTGAGTGCACTGCAAATGACAGGCTAAAAACCTTGAAAGGAATTACAGCAGTCATGTGGGATCTTCAAAATGCAGTGTAAGTGCCAGTGTCCTAATGGTTTGCAGCTGGTGAGACAAAAGGTTGGTGAGTGTTCAACTGAAATTTTTACAATGTATGATGATCCAGACACCAGTCTACTAACACACAGGCATGACTTGCCACAATTGTGCCGGATTTAGTGGTGGTATTATCACACTGACATTACAAACACACAAACAAGTAAGAAAATATAGAATATTCGACTGTACAGATTTACAGTAATGCCCAATATTACATATTGAAATTGCTTTATATATACCAGTTGATACAATGTACATCAAATTTTACAGTGCACTAGGCCGAGATGACCCATTGGCTGGACGAGGGCAGAGTCCCGCACCGTTATCGGGACACGGGCCAGGGTAGGCACCTCCCACATCATCCACTTTATAACACCAACCACTTCCATTGTGGACCTCAAAGAACAAAAAGCAATATAAGTTTTCAATGGATCTTTGTCAATCTTAGGAACTGGCTTCTAACAGCTCCAACCTGACTACACCTGTGCTTACCATTCTACAGTGCATGAGTGCCAGATACTGGGAACATATAATTCTTCATGATTTGTCTTTACCTTTGCTTGTGTTCAGATATGGGGTGCCTTCCATGCTCTGCTTTAATCACTTGAGAAGTACAATGTTTGCTCTACTGAGGCAAACACAGCTTCTAAATACTAACATTACACACCACTACTAATATGAAAGAAAGAGCAATACAACGTTAGGTAACAACATTTACCAATTGGGTAAAAAGTGGCAAACAGGTATATATATATCTAAGATTCAAATTTGATATATATGGGAAAAGCTCACTACAGCAAAATCATGCAAATAGCCACAAGCCCACAATAATGAATAACATGCTCTATCACACTACAAGAGCCTAGCTGAATAGTTACTATGCATTAAGGGCACACCAAAATAAGTTTGAATTAACATTAATTTTTTCAATGGCCTTTGAATTCTCACAACAAAAATCATATATGTATTAAATTGTTACAAAGAAATATTCCCCCATTTTTAAGACCTGACAGATCAAGGGATATGTGGTAAGTTACCATCAAATTTGTAATGAAAGATATGCTTGTCTGTAACAAGAGCTTAACTTGGGATAAATAAAATCAAGTAGAAAATGTCCAAGTCCATCTATCATATTTAAGGTTTAAAATAAAAGATTTGGTCATCCTAGATTTTTACAGTGTAAAAATAACTAGGAACTCAAGTATCTGTAACTGATAAATTACCTTCACTTAAGGTTCATTCATGGGAGAGAAAACAAACATATGATCTCCTGTATTATATGCAATCAGATTTCACTGATTATGCTCCTTGATAATGTGTTTCAAATTAATTTTTATAAAAACCTTTACTTCCATTCATTTAATCAATAAGGTTTTAAGAAAAAAAAAATCATTATACACATCAGATCATGTATAATTGATAACATCACTATAGCTAACATATGTGCTTCACACCACTGACAGTATCTTAAAGATAAACTGCGTGCTTAAAAAGTTGTAAAAAATTTTCAGGGGAAAAAAAAAATGTTAGCATTTTCCCTTGTTGGAGCAGTGGCATGTGGCAAGCGGTGGTCGAGCTGTGGTGAGGGCAGCTTAAAGGGGACTTGTCATACTGGGACCCATAGTGTCAGGGGCATTCTTTATGAAGTATTTCTCCAGTTTGGCCAAAATGTGTTTACCTGTGAATTAAGAAACAAGATTAATAAATTATTTATGAAACAATGTGATGCACGAAAATGTGTAATAATTAGCTACAGAACACGATATACAACAAAACCTCGATAAATCAGAATTCGCTATTCTCGGACTCTCTGGGGTGCTCTGGACTGTCCATGGCCTGCACAGCCATGTGACTACTCAGCTATGTGGTAAAGAATGCATTAACCAAATTTGATTTACCCAAATAAAAGTGTTATCTCACCCATGAAAAACTTTACTATAAAAATACTTTTCTTATTATCAGTGTTTTATGGCCACTTTCCACACTTATGTGGATTACCCATAGATACCTGATAGCAGTTCTCCAAGCTGCACGGTGTCTCACAGCCTCTTTCTTAGCCTACTCTACCTCCTCTTCCTTCCACAATCACTGATACCCATCTCCTGTTCTTTCCACAAGCCTAAACTATATTAGCCTAACTATGTAAATCATCTTAGCTCCAAACAGGGTTTCCTATCTCTCAATGTCACATTAAATATCCATCTCCTTATCTCCTTTCAGTTCCCCCAAGTCTGTGTGTCATCCTCTGTAACTGCCCATGGTATGCCAATTACGTACATCTTTGTCCAAGCAAAAAAAAAAGTAAACAGCTCCCTAAACTTCTTCCAAAACTTGTAATTGACCTAGTTTGACCACCATCTCCAACACTGTTTATATATTCAAAATACAGGAAAGCCTCCGATAACAATGGTTCTACTAACGCCGATTCATATTTAAGACCTTGGTTAATTAGGACCCAATTCAATTTACGCCATTATTTTCTTTGTATTTACGACGAAAATAGAATAAAAAATGTAAAACATTACATTTTCATACAAATAATAACTAAATCCCACATGTATTATAAAAAAAAAAAAAAAGCCTTGCACACACAGGCTGCTGGGCTTGGGAATGTTCATCATCTCTCGAAACAGGAAAAAATATTCCCCATCCCCGGAATCTTCCGGGTAACGGAAATATGTTCTCGAAGTTTCAGAAATTGCCTCCTCCCCGGAATTTTCCGGGTAACAGAAGAATTTCCTCGGAATTTCCAGAAAATGCAGCCGATTTTCATCTCTCAAACAAGGAAAAAACTCCCCCATTCCGGGTACCGGGAAAATTTACTTGGGATTTTTCTGGAAAATGCGCCCCTCGGAAAATTGTTCCCAAAGGTGGAATTTTCCGGAAAATTCCGCCTTTGGGAACGATTTTCTGAGAAAATTTCAATTCTGGCTATCGGACAGTTCTGGGTTTGAAGGATTCCGGCTAATGGAGATATAACTGTATACAGTATACAGTCGACCCTCGTGAATTCGGACCCCTTTAATCCGGATTTCGGATAATTCAGACAAAAACTGAACGAACTTTTTTTTTTCTTTTTTTTTTTACCTACGCGGACCTTAAGCTAAAATGCTGGTCCACCCACTGCTGGGATAAAACACCAGCATCTTTTTGGTTAAATTTAACATCTCCACCACTAGTGTGAGGGGGGGGGGGGATGCAACTTTTAGCTTCAGACATGAGAAATATTTACCATTTACTACCAGTAAACAATGGAAACGTAAAATATGTACCAATTAGTAATGAAAAGTTGTGCAGTTCCTTCAGCAAATGAAGATCACCAACTTACAATAGGCTAAATTACCTTACAACGTGTTTTCAGTAGTCTATGTTGAAGTTCTTAGCACAGGCTAACTTATCATATCATATACGGTATCACAGTTCTCATTGATCTACAAAAAATACCGGTAATAAAAACCTTTTTGATATTTCACACTTAATATAATACCCGGCAATCTACTTCAACCTCCTATTGTGTACAACGACGCATGATGCACCACCAGCTGTTGAGTATCAGCTAGACAGTACACGTGTTTTTCAAATCGTTTTCAGTTAAAAAACTGCTACATCACATGTATATTTTACCTTAACTGTGCCTGAATGAATATATTCTCGGAAATACAGTCAACCCTCGCTTTACGCGGTCCCACATTCCGTGTTTCCACGTTTAGGGCGGTACCCTGCCGAAACAGGAATGCTCACATTCCGCGGTGCGTGTACCCCTTTACGCGGAGAGCGGCTGGTGAGCCGGGCCATTTTTGGATCCAAACCTCCCGCCATCTCTCTCACCCTCTCCCGCCATGTTGTGTAAGCTGATCGAGCATGGTGCGCACAAGGTTGCCCAGTCATCAAAACATTACCGAGTTCTTCACCTGCCACCTGCCACAGCCGGCCCAAGTCAGTGACAGTGATAATTATAGTGAGGATATGGACTTATATGGACTTTGAGGGGTTTGACAAAGAGGCCCTGCAAGCCTCTGTGGTGGATAGTGATACAATTGATACAGGTGAGGGCCAATAATCTGCCCTCTGCCTCGGAACCAACCGCCCATCCCCGTGTGCCCAGCCATCTTTTCTACTAATGCAAGTGTTAAAAAACCTAATATTATTGATATTTCTCTTAATTATTAATTGTGTGTGCATACCATCATAAAGTTAAGATAATATTTTTACTACAACATAGTTGTGTGTCGTCAAAAAGTGGAGTTTGGGGGTCAGTCCGGTCTCTATTTCAATTAATCCCATATGTTATGTTGTTCACTTTATGCGTTTCTCACTTTCCACGGTACCCTGTGGGTTGAATTAACCGCGTAAAGTGAGGGTTGACTGTAGTAGTTTTGCTGAAACGTGATGTATTTTAATGTAAAATAGGATAAAATACATGACGAAAAAAAAGATTTTACCTAACCTTCCGATGTTCAAGAGAAGTTACTCGTTTTTTTAATGGTTTTTGGTTAAAATACATTACAATGGTATTCTATTCATACTGTGCTTGATATACTGCATTCACGGAAATGTAATATTTTTTGCTGAAATGACGTACGTATTACAGTGGAAAGTGGGATAAAATCGTGATGAAAACAATGACTTTTGCTTTCTTTCGTTCAAAAGATGTTACCGTAATCGTTTTTCGATTGGTTTTCAGTTAAAAAACCGTTATTACAATAATAATCTATCCTAATTGACTTGAATAAATACTATGATACCATATTTCTGAATATTTTCATTAAAATCCATCCAAATAATTTTCCTTGTCATCGTCTGCAGCACCAAACAGCTTCTCCCAGTCCTCTTCTTGAACAGGGCTAGAGGGTACGTGTTTTTCGAATCGTTTTCAGTTAAAAAACTGTTACATCAAACGTATATTTTACCTAAACTGCGCCTGAATGAATATATTCTTGGAAATAAATAGTAGTTTTGCTGAAACATGATGTATTTTAATGTAAAATAGGATAAAATACATGACGAAAACAAAAGATTTTACCAAACCTTCCGATGTTCAAGAGAAGTTACTCGGTTTTTTAATAGTTTTTGGTTAAAATACTGTTATATTACAATGGTAATCTATTCATGCTGTGCTTGATATAATGCATTCACGGAAATGTAATATTTTTGCTGAAATGACGTACGTATTACAGTGGAAAGTGGGATAAAATCGTGACGAAAACAATGACTTTCGCTTTCTTTCGTTCAAACGATGTTACCATAATCGCTTTTCGATTGGTTTTCAGTAAAAAAACTGTTGTATTACAATAATATTCTATCCTAATTGACTTGAATAAATACTACGATAACATATTTCTGAATATTTTCATTAAAATCCATCCAAAACATTTTCCTTGTCATCGTCTGTAGCACCAAACAGCTTCTCCCAGTCCTCTCCTTGAACAGGGCTAGAGGGTACATGTTTTTCGAATCGTTTTCAGTTAAAAACTGTTACATCACACGTATATTTTACCTAAACTGCGCCTGAATGAATATATTCTCAAAAATAAATAGTAGTTTTGCTGAAACGTGATGTATTTCAATGTAAAATGGGATAAAATACATGACGAAAACAAAAGACTTTACCTAAGCTTCCGATGTTCTTGAGATGTTATTCGTTTTTTTTACTAGTTTTCGGTTAAAATACTGTTATATTACAATGATATTCTATTCATACTGTGCTTGATATAATACATTCACGGAAATGTAATATTTTTGCTGAAATTACCTAAGTATTACAGTGGAAAGTGGGATAAAATCGTGACGAAAACAATGACTTTGAAATATAATGCAATATTAACCCCTAAATCGGTTAATTCGGACAATCGGCTAAAACAGACACCCTTCCCCCCCCTATTAGTACGAATTAACGAGGGTCGACTGTATTCATTTTTTTTACATTAATTTTACTACAGCTACAACCAGGGTCATATTTTCTCCATTTTCTCGTGTAGAACTATCGTCCCGAACTCCTGGCTGTAAACACTGATGAAAACAATGGCGTCTAATCTCCACTTTGTGTGACCATATTATTATTCATATATATTGTATGAGGTGCATTCATTAACATTATTTGCATTTTACATTAATTTTATTATTTTTGGGGAAAAGAGGTTAAAAAGCCACACAAAGATATGAAAAGGTAACACTTGGGAATGCATCTCAATATTATTTATTTATTTTAATGGTAATTAATCATTCACGATACGATGATTCACCTTACACTGCAATATTGGAGGACACATTACCATTCGAGGCTTTACTGTAAATGATTCGGAGCTTACCATACGTATATTTGCGTAGGGTGGAAATGTGTGGGCGGATCTTGTGCATAAGCATCTTCCGCTGAGCAGGTTCAGCTACATCAATCATCTTCTGCACCACATAGTTGGCATACTGGTCCTTCATTAATACAAGAAGTGAGCTGTGAGAATTGTCACTGTAACCACACACCTGTCAAAAGATCAAACATAACAAGTGAATCAAACAATCAGTTTTTTCTTATGTAATAATGCAAATAATCAGCAAAAATATATTCATGTTACATGTTTTAAACAGCTTCTCTTGTCAAGCAACATTTTTGATGATGCATAACCTCAATACATCATCTCTCTCCACATTATAAGATTCCTCTATCAGAACTCTTATACACTTATTATTTACAAATTTCAGTTCCTGAACATGTGGTTAATTGAAAATTACAGGTACAATACTACATTTTAATGAAGGAGGTACAGCCATACCTCGATAACCGATGCATATGCGGACTGCGAAAAGTCAATGGATAGTGAATCAACAGTTATCGAAGCAATAAATCCCGAAAGAATATAACAAATTCAAGAGGTTAGGGACCAACCAAAATTTCCCCCACCCTTGATATATCAAGTCTAAGTCTCCATTATGGTATGTTAAAATAAAAATGATGACGTATACAGTCGGGTAAACAACATCTTCTTAATACATTGTTTTATTTAAGTTATAATAATAAATGGCTTCTCTCATTATGCTTTTTTTTAGGTTACTATGTTGTGGGAGTGAGAAAAGATAAAGTGAGACATCAACTTTGATACAACATATTCTTTTATTCTCAACTGAAAATACAAATTATATATCATATATTTTTCTGTTATAGAAGATTTTATATTATTTACGATGAATCATACACCATAAGAGGCTGATCATGGTAGATTATAATAAAAATGAATCAATAATATTCAGGCCTTGACAGCAGTTGGTGGGAGGGGAAGTGGTCAGGAAGAGGGTAACCATGTGATTTGGTTTACTTTTTATTTTGAAGTTAAATTACTGTATATACTGTATTATATTTTGTTCTATTATTTAATACTGTATGTTATATTAATTATGATGAAACATACATCAAAACAGGCTGATCATACGAGAATATAATAATGAGCACTATAAATAAAAACAAACAGATGAACGTTGGAATGGCTAGCCGTCCCCCCCCCCCCCACAACTTCAGCACTTTTACACAGGAACACCTCTTGTACCTATTAGCTCTTGTAAGGCCAATATCAAATCTGATTAGACCACTGTACCCCACTAAAGGCAAAATATACTCTACTTAAAATGATAGCCATTGTTCATGGATTAAACAGAAGAGGAAGTATCGCCGAGGCATTTAGGCATAACACAAAGTCGGATCAACGGGGTAGTCAGTGAAACTTGTAGGGGTATTTCCAGGGAAATACATAATCAACGGTTATGCGAAGCATCGGTCAATGGGACCTCGGTTTATGGGGTATACCTGTATTCTGGCACTTTTAAATAAAAATTTCTCACTTTACAGTAAATACAAGACTCTAGCGTGAGTTAAAATATCTATACACCTAAAGTAAAACCTAGTTACACTTTTAAGTTGAGATTTTAAACATAACCATACAAAGCAATGATACTTTGTTCAGTGAAGCAGCTGGCTGTTTACCACAAAGAAATAATTGCCAAAATTCCAATAAGAGTTTCCTAAAAAGTGAAAGTGGGCATGACAGTCTATTAGGAGTGAGAGGGGGGGGGGGTTAAAGTGGACAGCAGATGATGCATTCATTATTTGAAGTATGCAACCTCCTGAACCACTCTTTAAGTAAACAACTGTCAGCTTGGTTTGTTTGTGGCAGTGCCCATGGTCAATATTTAGTACCGTCCCAGCTGTCCCTGTGACCACCATCAATCATGCACTTTTTCAGTGACTGACTTTGGTTTCAAATATTAAGTACTAAACCTATTAAGTTAAAACAGCCACAAGTACAGATGATCCCATTGTTTCATTTTAAAATCAATTAACCTGTTCCATATCTAAAGAAAGCCACATACAGTATTGTGACCTCAACTGGTGTTGATGTTGACTATATTTCCTTGTCTGAATCTGTAATGCTGACCTTAGAGATTGCGATTTTAACTAAATCAGCTTCTTTCTTTTCCATGGTGAAACTACATATAAGGTCTGATTAAAATCAACAATGGAGAATCAAAAGATGCACCATGGGAAACAAAGTTATAATTTCAGTAATGGTGAAATAGGCAATAAAATGTGCTTCCTTCCTTTCTTTCTGAAAGGGATAATCACATGTGCAGGCTGGTACCAATAGCTGATAGAGAACTAAATCTTTAATATGGAGAGAGAATGCTATAATATACAATGCGTCATCAAATTTGATTAAAATAATAGGCAAAATATAAAATTTACCTAAATGAAACAAATGTTGTTACTAATACAAAGCTGTAAAAACATAACTGAATGATCAACAATAATTAGTGAGGTTCAACCATCCCCCAACTGGTACCCACGTTTACCTCCTCAATGAGCATGGCCCTCTCAGCGCGGGTGGCATGCGTTACACATTTCTCAACAACATTTGAGGCAAATTTGTGCTGAGATAGTTTCAGGACTCCTCCTCGGACCACACCCACAATTTTACTCTTGTCCTCTGGTTTGCCATGTTCTGAAAAGCAATTTCATTTAAGTCAAAAATTCCAAAATCTATTTAAAATAATGTACATAAGTGTGAAAAAGCTTTACATACACTATGTACGGTAAACAAATATTTCAGAGAAAGATAACTAATCTTAAAAAACTTCCCCAAAGAAAAAGTATTTCTAAAAGACAAGGAATTAAAATCTTTATCTTGTTAAGTTTTTATGTTTAGCAAAAAGTATGGGTACATAAAAAGATAATATACAGCACAGCACCCTACATGTACACTCGGTAAAAAAAAATGTATCTTCACAATTCTTGTGCGAAACAAAATGAAACCACGAATGAAGGTTATTAATAAAAGTTCATGAGGCATAGTGTTATTCACCAATCATAATGCAACGAACTAATTTTATACATTGGATTAAGTAACTAAATTAGGCCTTCCATAATAGGTAGGAAATGTCTCACAATCACTCCTATCAATCCTAGCAAGACAACACAATTGTTTAGTTCTAAATTCATCGGACCCCTCCTGAAAGATATATTTTTTTTTAACTAAATGTGGATATTTGTTAATCACCACCAACTTGTTCAAAGTGCACCAGACACCTATCCCAGGAAATACTATCTAAATTAGTACCTTAACTTCTCCCTATTTGCTGGAAATCCAGCACAGCTAGATTATGTCAAAAGAGGCCTACCAAAATTCACTGGCAAGATATTTTTTTAATACTATTAACAGATGACAGTTTCATGACAGTGTCATAATATTTCTAGTGAGGAACTTACCTAGCACATGCTGGATGACGTAATTACCATACTGATCTTGTAGAAGCTGTTCTGTATGTTGATGTAATTCCTCTAACACAGGAGATGTTTGGTCACCAGTGCAATGCTCCAAAATGCGTTGGATTACACGACAGCCATATGGGTGTGTTGACAGCGTGAACACTTGCCCCTGTGCAACATGAAAAAAATGAGCAATGAATTAATCTTCACAAGACTCGAAGACTAAAATTGTGAATAGTCTCGGGGTCAATCTTGATTATATCTCATAGTACAATCTTTGATTGTCATGAGCATCCATTAAGAGGAAATTAAAACTATCACAACAATTCGGATAATAATTTTGAAATAAAATATTACCCCCAAAATTAGAGGGGTAAAACTTCTAATTGAAAAGGTATATCATGTTAAAATTAAAATCACCAAATTTACCAATATTTTTATTTACGAGTTCAATAGCCGTGGGGAAAGAAAAAATTAATCTTTTACATCTTGATGCAAGGAGACCATCTTGAAATCCATGACTTGGGCCTATCCCCTTTTATTCAATAAAACAACTCTCCTGAAATAAATTTATAAACGAGGCCTCCACTAGATCTTCTTAATTTTCCCTAATACTCGTCTTACCTAAACTCGCACCCCCTAAGCTGTTCACAACATCCATTACTGAGGTTTCCAATTAAATAGGATTGTGGCATTCAAATACTAAATACCTGTACAGTATACTGTAATACAGAAGTACATTCCAAGCAAACTTAGCTAACCAATTCCTGTTCTATACTCCTTTAAAATTTTACATTAGCTGACTAGACATATATTTACTGTATACCACAACTAACCTGGAAGGCATTTATGATGAACTGTAAGGCCATTGGGTCCACGCACTCAATGCACTTCTGCACAACATGGTTGCCTGTATAGGTAAAGTGATAAACATTAGCTTTTCATATTACAATAAATATAAAATATAAAACTAAAACTAGGCTGAAACTCAAACAATGACCAGGTAAACCACAAAAGACTTGGGTTTGGCTCAAACTGATGTGCAACAGTTAACTGAAGTTTAGACTGAGCACAAAGGTATATTGAAGAAAGGATGTCACACTTGTTTGTTCGAGTTATTGTAGGAAAGGCTGAAATACTAATAAACTAAAATAACTGTAAAATACTAAACATCCAAAGGACATAAAAAAATGGAAAAAATCTAAAGTCAATGGGTGGTATATGGAAGGTCAGAGGCTTCTGAAAAGTAAGCAGGAAAATTTTGTCTTGCCAAAATACTGTACAGTATATAATTAACACCCATTTCTAATTTAAACTTACCATTTTGGTCCTTAACGCACTTCAGTACATGACCATCAAGCTCGCGAACAATATCCTTCTGTTGGTCTTGAGTAATGCATTCCAATGCCTTCTGAATAACGCGACATCCATACATCTGCAACGCTAGAGGTAAGACATGACCACGAATCTTGTTTGCCAATACAGTTTTCTGATCGGGTGTGCCAAATTCGAAGAACTTTTGGATTACGTAATTCCCTGCAAAGTATACATACACCGTAAAGAAAGTTACAAACATTTAGATAAAATTATATAATAGCAAAAACCATCAATACCTTAACATGTGCTAAAATATTAACCAATGCCTTAATAACTCACCAAAAACATCTGTCATAAGAGAGTAAGCTGCTGTCAAAATTTCGTTGAAGACCATTTGTTTTTCAGCTGGTGTTGCTCGTTCTAATTTCTGCTGAATAAACCTGAAACAGCACAAAATTGTTGTGGGGCTCAATTTAATTAAAGAGAAATATTGTATTGTATTCAAAATTACACACTGGTTTCCATTTAAAAAATGAACAATTAAGTTTTAAAAACTATATAAACTTACCACTATTACCAACATTATGAGGTAAATTACTGTCGTATACATTGACTGGATTCATGACACATGAGTGAATTGTTGTGGTAAGGAACCACAGAATGCAGCAGGAGTTTTATTCTCTCCCTCTCTGAGGAAGGTACAACAACGAAATGTAAGAGAATAAAACTCCTGCTGCATTGTTTCCTTACCACCATACTTCACCTAATTTTTCAAGAAACATCAACACCAAATTTGAATCTGAGATTCATAAAATAAGAGCAGCAATTGCAGAATTAAGTAAATGATAAAAGTAAGTAAGAATACAGTAACAGTTGCAATACTAACATTCAAGTATTCATTGAGATAACCCAAAACTTGATTAAAATCATTCTTCAGCCTATGTTCCTTAAATCAGTATCACAAAATTATAACTACAGTATACAGGGGGTCCCCGACTTATGAATGTCAGCCAATACGAACGAGGTTAAACTTTAAATTTAAAGTATTTTATTCACCTGAGGACTAAGTTTTTTCATTCATTTACTGTATTTTGTCATTCTATTTCTTCTTTTCTCTTAAATTATAGTGATTTTAGATGTATATAAGGACTTAGGCTATGATATTGTGGGATTTTAAACATTGTTCTGTAAGTAATGTAGGAACGTAGCATGTGTTTTGACTTGCGTACATTTTCGACTTAAGAACATCCTCAGGAACGGAACTCGTTTGTAAACCGGGGACCCCTGTATAGAATTACACAGCACCTAAAGATCAAGCTAATTCATTGTAAATACATAAAAAACTCCAAGACAATTTAAGAGAGAATTTTTTGGCTCCAAATATCAATTACAATATGCTATAATATTACTGGCAGTTTAAAGAGTAAATCTTATACTTTGTTGAAGAGTTGTCTCTCATCATGTACAATAAATGAATCCCAATGAATTTCTTAGGAAATTAAAGAACTAAACAATAATTGAAGCAAATAAAGAATAAGTTGCGGGCTAAGAACATTTATAAATGGGTGGAATCTGAGTACAGTGTTTAAGAAAACTACATGAAGAGTGCATACACATTAACTCATGTCCAGATGCAAAACTCAGATGGTAGTGAGAAATCAACATTGTGAGCTACTAGGATGGACTGCTGAAGAAATATTAACCCTTAGGCCCCGGGTGACATTCCACAACATCCGACTATTTTCCCGCCATTTCTTTTATTTATTTTATTATTATTATTAGATTTTTTCTGGGTGGGTTTACTGCCAGCAGCACCCTAACCCGAGGATTAAGGGAGTTTTGAAGATTGATAAGGTATTGATTGAATGAAGGTGTATGACTGACATGTTGCTGAAAAGTCTTTGTGGAGGACCAAATTAATGGGAAGGTACTGTATTTAAGTGGTATGGATATGTGGAAAGCATAGGAAGTGTTAGACTGATGAGGACTTTTGATACTTTAGTTGGAGATATGATTGTAAGGAGGTGAAGAAAGAAACAGAAAGGCTGTATAGTACTGTACTGTATACAATATATAAATCATTAAAATTAAAACATTTCATTGATAAAACTGAGAAGAATGAATATGGATTATGAAGACAAATAGTTTTATTTGAATATGGGAACAAACCTGACAATTCCACTTAGTATGATCAGTGAATTAAGTAAAGAATTCCTGAAATTTTTTTATGTTTTAGTGGTTCCAAAATACAGTAAAACCTCGATTAACCGACCACATATGGGGGGAAGGGGCCGACGGATAACCCGAAAGGTCGGTTAATAGTACATAAAGTCTACGAAAATAAAACATACATTTTCAAAGTACCTTTCCCTAACCTACCTCATTTAATTCCCTCTATTCATTTTTGTTCATTTGCCATTCATATTTCAATAGAATTTGCTTTTAAACATTAACCACTTTAGTAAATAAATATGAACCAGCACAGAAACCGTGAATAAAAAATGGAAAAGTCAAAGAACATGTGTCATCACAAAAATTGTGACCAAGTCCCAGGGTGCTGATCTGACTTTGTACCTCATTTACACACAATTGCAGGGTCTCAATTGCTTCTCTTACTATTGACAACACAACATACATATATTGTTTCTCACCCTTGATTTTTTTTTATTTTTATTTCTTTATGGTTCTATATTACTATTACTATTATTATTATCATTATCAATATTATTACATTATCGCCCCCCAGGCCCCGATGTGGGTCAGTGACCTGTGCCCGGGTGGTCTAATCCCCGTTTAAAAAAAAAAAAAAAAATAGGAGTTCGGGATTGAGGGTTAATCCGAAAGTCGGTTAATCGCGGGTCGGTTAATCGAGGTTTTACTGTACAGTATTGAAATATGAAATAAAATGTATGTACAAGAAAATTCTTAATTTCTAATCTTGATACCAAAACTGTGCACACAAATAACGGTTTGCATTGCTATCCAATCTTAAAAACATAAGAAATCAAGTTTTCATTTACATTAAACTCCTATATTCCTTTCCTGAATGACAATAACAAGACCTAATAAAAATGGATGGATTTTGGGTGCAATATAACCATCAATCCATAATAGAAACAAAACATTTTATGGCTGACATACCTTGAGCCATGTTGATCTTGGCTGAACTCCACAATATGGTTGGCCAAGTCTCTTAGTTGGAGATTCGGAAAGCGGTTGTTGCGAAAATCCTCCAGAAGGCGTGAACGACCAGTGCATTTGTCCAAACTCAAATTTCGCTTTAATGGTGGGAATAAAGATGATGGTCCACCCGAGTTGAACATGCCATTGGTGGAGCCATTGCGGAACTTGGCCTCTGCTCCAGGTGCAGCCGAAATGACACGATTTCCAGACATGAGAGCTCCAAGGGGCAATGCTGAGGAGGTATTACTCAAGCTGGGTGGTGGAGTAAGACTACCTGAGGTGAGACCAATTGGTCCAGGAGATGCTGTTACAGTTCCTAAAGCTCCATAATTGCTAGTCCATTTAGCACTTCGAAAATCTTGAGAGAGTGGGGATAAAACTGATGTGGTGCGGTCAAGAGAATCACGACGACCCATACTGCTGCTGCCCAAACCTGCAAAAAGAAAATCACTTCATTTACCATCTACTTTCAATTACAACAACTTCATAAAACCATTAATTAACTTCAAGCGATTGTCAGGAAGCCAACTATATTACTATAAACCCATAGGTACCACTGAAGAAACTAATTCTGATTACAATGTATTCAATAAGTTACATAATTCATTGTTGTAAATTTGTTAATAGACTGGACTTACCACCACCTAAATTGCCAATAGCAGGGGATCCAATGGTGCCCAGGGTGCTATTGCCAAAACCTAGACTACTAGTTTGCAGACCCAACGAGTAGTTGTTGCCTGTTAGTGCATTGGAAGTCTGCAGGCCTTGCGATAGGGAATCTGCAACAATGAGAAACAAACCACACACTATAATCATCTATGTGTACTGCTGCACGACAGGATGCACTATATGAAACTAGATCGAGGTTATACTGTACTGTGATTCTTCTGCTAATTAATCTAGATCTATCATGTATCTGAAAATACAATGCAAAAATGGGAAAATTAAAGTGTGGTTTATCTTATCATCTGAACAGTATATCCTTGATGCAAGTTTGAATAGTCTGTGTATGTCCATTTTTCTCCCTTGAAAAGGGGACAGTGTAGTAGTATTATTAGTATCACACAGGTAAATTTTTAAAAAGACATGCAGACTTAAGCTGGCCAGTTCTTATGGACCATTCTCAACTAGTGGCTTGAAAAATTCTTAACCAATATATGGTTACAATAATTATCTCCTAATCCAAATCCAGCAGACACTGGCCAGTAACCTTGTTATTAATAAGGGCTTTGGGATGTTAGCTTTCACAACATACACTATTCATTCAGGCTATACTTGGCATGCATACCAGCGAGTGTGCTCCCAGTGAAGGTTTGGCTGCTGTTGAGGCTCGGAGTCTGGCTGTTATTGTAGAGAGAGGCTGGTGGTGTTCCAATTTGAGGGGCCTGAAAAAAAAAGAGTTAGATATTAACATGTTTATTAAAATCCATAACATGTATTTACATAAAAGATCTGTGCTGCTTCAAAATCTATATTACAGTGAATAATTGAGACCAATACACAATGCTTATGATGGGCCACCATCTACAGCGATTACAAGTCATAAAGTTATTAATCAAACATGGATATTCTCTATATTGTACCTGGTTGCCTAGGAGGCGCATGTTATTGGCAGCAGCAGCCTGGGCACCATTGGCACCATTGATAAGGACCGGCGCAGGAGAGACCAACCGAACTGGAGCTCCATTACCAACACCTCGGAGATTACCCATCAATACTGTGCCATTTTGGTCATAGTAAGCCGGGATTACCTGCTTCAGAGTGGAAACAAAATCAAAATAACAGTAGTCAGTATACAGCCTCTACAATTTCTTATGTAATTATACATTACTGTCAGATGTCAAAAATAAATTTATAATATAATTACAATACTAATTAAAACTTCCTTAATAGAGGTACACACCTGGTACTGAGAAAGTGGACCCTGCATGTTGCCTGCTGCTGCTGCAGCTGATGCAGCCAAGTTACCATTACTTTGACTGGTAACCTCACTAGTTTGAGATGGAGAAATTGGTCGTCGTGGTTGACCACCTGGGCCTTGTTGCTGGATTATATTCGCTGGATATACACCCCAGTGCACCCCATAGTACTGAGGAATCACTGCTGTTGGACCTAACAAAAGATTTCCTTACTAGGTTAAAAACTTCATTTACAGCAATTATATTTCAAGACTGGAAATAAAGAAATGCACAGTTACAGTTAAAGCAGACCAACAATGGCCCAATACCCTGTACTGTATTAAGTCATAAAAAAAAAAAATTACACTTCAAAGAGGAAGGAATTTCCAAAAAAAAAGAGAGAAAATTCTCACTTAAACAAGGATGCATATACCATACTCCCAGCAGCAAAATTTGCTACACACTCACATACAGAAATGCCAAAGTTCATGCACTCTCACACACACACATCCATAAGTAGCTAAATTTTTTCTTGAAAGTACAGTTCATTTATGTACTTTACAGTGCACCACTGGCCTCCTTTTGGGTTACATTCTTGAAGAATGTTGTGGATAGTTTATCCACAGAAATTTAAGTTTATAACGTATGGGGGAAATGGGATGAGTTCCATGCAGTAAATTTCTGCCCTCCAACCCACAATGTAAAACTAATTACAGTGGGGTATGCTATAACGAACGGATCCTACTACGAATATTCCTATAACGAACGGTTTTACCTATAAAATTGAGAATGCTATAACGAACGCAACTCCTACAACGAACGCGGATGAATACCGGACTATTTCGCCTGGCGCATGAATATTGTTGTACCGCGACCCACAACAAGAGCGTCAGGCGCCATCTTTGTCTCATTGTGTAGCCAGTGCACCACTGTTATTGTTGAAATTTCGTCTTTTGATGTGGAAATTCGCGTTATTTGTATAACTATTTTGTTATACAAGTATACAATTGTAACAATGAGTCGTCCAAAGCGAGTGAGAAAGCTAATAACCCTTGAAACTAAGAAAGAAATTATAAAGAAACGTGAGAATGGAAGAAGCATTGCGAAACTTAGTGATGAATATGGGATGGCTAAATCGACTATATGTACGATTTTGAAGAATAAAGAGGAGTTAAAAACTGTGCAAGTGGCTAAGGGAATCTTTAGACTTAGCAAAGCAAGGTGTAATGTGATTGAAGAGATGGAAAATTTACTCTTAGTGTGGATAAAGGAGAAAGAAATGGCAGGTGGTAACATTAGTGAAGCTATAATTTGTGAGAAGGCTAAACAATTGTTTGAGGACCTTAAAGCCAAGACTCCCAGTGGAAGTGATAGTGATGTGCCAGTGTTTAGGGGTACCTGCATGCTGAATAACACTAAGGTAAGATAAAGTACCGTATTTTTTACATTTTCCACAGAATTTTTTCAGTGTTAAGCGGTTGTATTTGGGGGCCTGGAACAGATTAATCCTATAACGAACGAATGCTATAACGAACGAGATTCTGGAACCAATTACGTTCGTTATAGCATACCCCACTGTACCGGTACCCCATTATGGTAAGGATTTGGGATTTCTAGTCTATGTGTACAACATTTGGATATGATTGATAAAACGATCAAAAACTTCAATATCTTGAGCACTGTCAGGAGACCATACCATGGATAGTATATTTCATGATACTTTTACATAATCTCACACACACTCGTGGCAACATTACATGTGCTAATTTTCCTGTTTCTTATGTGAACTCAATATAAACTGGAAATAATAATAGTAGTAATAATAATAATAATAATAATAATAATAATAATAATAATAAGAGAAAATAGTATGCTAAATTTTCTGCCAACTTGGGAGGCGGAGGAAATTCATCTCAAACTTTCCACACACATCATTTTGGTTCAAGAGCCAATCATATGACTGGACAGAGGTACACAACCTGACTCAATTCATGCACAGCAAGAGACTGTCCTCAAATGTTTCGCAAGGATATAATTAGTATTACCGAGACCTTCGGAGTCTTTAAACAGGGTTACCATAACACAGGCGATAACTGACTGCAGTCAGTCACAAATATCCAATGCGATGTCTGGGTCACACAAGTTGTTCACGCTTGATGTCATCCAATCGATACAAAATAAACTGCAATAAATAAGTCACCCATAACCTGGAGAACCTGTACATAGTGGTCGTGAAGAAGTGGAAGGTCCTGACGATCCCGACCATGAAGATAGTTCAAGCGATAATGAGGACCTTTCATCCAAAGTAAACATGATCAGAGCCAGGAGCACACAAACCCTACCACCTCCCATACTGTTGCTCTTGGTGAGGCTGTGGCAGGCCCATCGTGGCTGACACCTTGAGAAAGGAGGCAGAGAAGTGAGGAAAGGGACACTGTAGATGAAAGAAAGTTTGAGAGACACAAGAGAATGGTGTAAGAAAGGTCACAGTCATCTACACCACATGTCTCGCCCACTAACCACTCCACCTGTGTTTGGACAACCATACCACACAGCTGTTTCTGAAGATCAACATATGCCTGCCAACTCCACTGAACCACCTAACCTGCCTGATGCCTCTACTGTTGTTACTTGGGATTGGAGAGAATTTTTAACCCGACCTTCATTTTTTGACGACTCAGGTTCAGGTATCAAAAAAGTGACACCATCATGCCAACATATGAACTTTTTCCTGCTCTTATGCACAAATGAGTTAAGGTGCACACTATAATGAGTGAAACTAACAAATACAGAACTCCATATTCCTGGTAGGTGGCACAACATTGACCTGTCTGAAATGTACTCATTTTTGGCTTTGGTGGTGGTGATATTTACAAGAAAAATCAACAACCAGGAATATTGGACAACTGACCCACTGGGCATTACCCAATTTTTCTCTAAGGTCATGTCACTGAACAAATTCACCAACCTGTTGTGCTCCCTCCATTTCTTTGACAACAGTGCACCGTCAACACGACAAGATGAGGAAATTTCACCTAGAGTTTGATTACCCAAGACAATGGTTCAGGGACATCATCTACCGATACAAGAGCATAAATATCTTGGAGAATAAAAATATTATTAAATTTTAAAGACAACCTCCACCACACTGAGTGACATAACGTAACGTAGTGAGGAGTAATTTGTCTCGGATCTTGTCCATCAGGTTTATGGTTTCTTCAAGATAATCATATTACCAGACCATTTCCCATCTTATTTTTGCTACCCTATGAGCAGATATTACCAGAGATCAACACAATAGTTATTATCTCTAAAATATCAGAATCTAAATACAGTACAATATATTAAAAACATGTACTAAAGTGCTGTAGCGATTTTTCCCGTATCCGTCCACCAGCCAATCGGCTGCCTTGCTACAAACTGAAACGAGGTCTCAGTTGCAAGGTTTGAGTGAACAGACTATAGTATTCTACAAAGGTAAGACCCATTTACTACCCGTTCTCTAGTTGTTACCAATATGAGGAGCAGGCATACCAAAATATGATGTTGCACTGGAAAATTTATCAAGCCATTTTGCCCAGCATTTCATATTGTAGATGGAAAAAGTAAAATACTTTTTTGGGACCCTGTACATGAGGGAGGTGTAAACAGGCCTCTTGAGTTGATTAGAAACCACCGTAGCAAGCAGGTAATGCCAGAGATAAAAGATGAGCTTGGTCTCATAAATGAGCACTGGGAGACCCAAAACTGATAACAATGCCTACAACTCACATATTTACAAGTATTGACAGTCAGTTTGAAAATATATGTTTTAAAATTAACCAGTTTCCTGTTGTTTTTACTTTAAAAGGCCAATTCATTTTAGCTTCCAATATTTTGCTCAGAATTTTTCACCTTAAGTCCCAGCATCATCCATAGTAAAGTACAGAAGGCACTACCAAGACTAGTCAAAGCAGCAACAGCTTGCCACTGAACATCACACATCCACTTCTAGTTGTACTGTATTGAGTTCATGGGAATCCACAAAAAACTGTTCAGCAAGTTGATTTTACTTACTTTAGATTAAAGACACAGATTGTTACATTCCCACGAACCCAAGGCAGAGGTATAAAAACCTAAAAGGAACTCTTGAATAAACAATTTTGGTCCCCCATAAGAGGTAATATAGTGCTTTAAGAGGTAATACATATTGTGCTGAAGAACACCTTTCCAGATCAAACAGTAAAGGAGAAGTACAGGTAGTATATAAAATGACTAAGTTGTTTACAGTATTAATTTTATCCCCTCACTAATTCTGTCCATTACCGTCACCGTACCTTTAAAACTAATAATACACCACTAATATTTATACGCACCTAAGCCTACACCCTCCCCTAAAAAAAAAGGGGGTTAAACTGCGAAAATGTGTTCCTACACCCCGTGGTAACCTGTGTCTTCAAACGACGTCACATTAGTAGTATCACTATTTATGAATGAATGTAACAACCGACATGAATGGTGCATGGGTTTGCTATAGGTCATATAGGTTGGCCGTTTGGAGACACGGGTTGCCACAAGGGGTGTAAGGAACACATTTTCATAACTGTACGACTATGCCAAGTACTTAGTGCCAAATAAAGTAAAATCATATGCAGAAAGAGTAGAGTAATTAAAAGAAACGATGTTATTGCTATCTCTCTTTGAAAGGGACATGTTTACAGTCGAGGTACAGTTCTGTATACATCTTCACTATGGTAAGTGCATGATGCCATCCCAGGCAGTACTTTTTGCTAAGATCTTACTACAATTACAGTAAGTCAGAGCAACATTAATTCAAAGACCTTATGCTAAGGGTTAAGTTCAGGTCATAAATTCCAGAGGAAATTTCTTGATGCCAGAGGACCAAGTAAGAGAAAATATGAACATACAAGACTGTACTGTACTGTACTACAATTCCATTACTAGTTATATTCAAGTGCCCATCCTTCAGTTTAATAGATTTTTCAACAATTCCAGTTTTACTGCTTTTAATACCATTCTAGATTAAATTAATATAAAACAAACAAACAACAAAAATTTTGAACAGTATTTGTGAGAAAATGCACCCCCGTGGAATACTGAAACACCCCTCCCCCCAGGTTAAGTACCATTGTTATACAAGGTACACAAGTTCCAGTGCCCTGAATAATTTTTCATTGGTATACAGTACTGTATATCACAAAATTCATAAGAATTGTTCAAAATAACTGCCAACACCCTCTCATGCCTGTAAGTAGTGTAACATGTTACTCAACACTCATCCCAGCTCTTCCTCTGTGATGTTACCCAAGACCAAATGAACAGTTTCTTCCAGTGCACTACAAACGTTTGGCCACCTTATATAATATGTACCATGTGTGTTCTGTCCATATTGTATATCTTTAGTTTTTGTCTGCTTTAATTTGAGTAAAACAAACATCGTTATTAATACAACAGTATTATTATATAATTTGTTCTTGGAAATACGGTTACCATGCTACATGTGCATGTTGTAAAAAGTTATGATCCAACATAAAGTGATGTGAGAAAATTGATGTATACATGAAGTGTTTACAGAAGAGAAGGAAGTGGAGGAGGAAAATGAGGAAGAGAAGAGTTTAAACAAAAAGCCTTCTTCATAATGGCGGGAGATTAAAATACATATTACTGTACAGTACGGTACAATAAAATGTGGAAATAACTAGGGAAAGGGAAAAAAATTAAAAGAAGATAAATTTACATGTAGATTGCAAAAGAATACAAATACTGTACTGTACAATGCATCATAAATGGTTAAGTTGTGCAAAAATAAATAAATAAAAAATACATCTCTCAGTAACATTAGAAAAGAAGTTAGAAATACAGTACTGTACTGTACATGTACAGTATAGGGGAAAGAAAAAAATAATGTGTAGAGAACTTTTAATAGCTACAGTATACAAAGCTGCAAAACTGTAGAAGTCTGAGTTACCGGTAAGTGAAATTTCCCTACAATAATACTCTTTAGATTCTTCTTCTCCAGCAAGTTATTAAAAAATCTTCAAAGTGCAAACTGTACTGTACTGAAAATTACTGAATAAAAATTTAATCAAGTGCTTTCACCATCAATATCAAAGACCCTGCAAGGCAATTAGAAATTCTTAAACAACTTCTGAACACTAATGAAATGTCAAGTCTGACTATTCATTCATTCATTAACTTTTAATACAATGGCTTGAGTCATATGCAAAGATATAAAGTGTTTTTAACATTGGTATTCAATGTTGGAAAATAAGTTGCATCCCCCTCCCTCCGGTAAAGTAAGTTGTACCGAAAATCAAAAGCCAATGATATACTGTATACCACTTATGGTTTTAATAAATTAAGCATAACATAATAACAGGTACTGTACTGTACATTAGCACTAAAACAAAAAGAATTTATCACAATTCAACAATATGTAAATATCTTTACAGTATAGTATAGTATAGTATAGAAAAGTATAGTATAGTATAGTATAGTATAGTATAGTATAGTATAGTATAGTATAGTATAGTATAGTATAGTATAGTACAGTACAGTATGTAAATGTAAACACTAGCGTAGCTAGGGGGGGGGCGGTCCGCCCCGGGCGGCACTTTTGGGGAGCGGCACTTTTGGGTCTGCTCATCACCCATATCTGCAGCTACTGGAGACGTTAATCCATCCCTTTGTATCGGCGGCAAGTTAATCCTTGTCGTGTCTGACCTAACACCTGACCCACATCATCACGGCCACGTCATGAGCTACACCCTTGCTATGAGGCCCCCCGCCACACACACAACCTGTAACCTGTTGAGGATTAAGGAAACAACTTCAAACAAGTACGCCAGTGAGCTCATGTGGTGTGGGTCAGGTGTCAGGTCAGACACGACGAGGATTAACTTGCCGCCGATACAAAGGGAAGGATTAACGTCTCCAGTAGCTGCAAAACCATGCAGTCTCGGGTCATATCAGTTCATGTACAGCCGACCAATCCACCAGTTACAAGCAATTCACTTCAGTTCTGCACAAGTCTCCATCGTGACAAGACGATTGAGTCACTGTGCAATATGTATTTTTTGTGGGGGCACGGCGGGGGGGGGCAAACTCAAGGGCCGCCCCGGGCGGCACACACTCTAGCTACGCCACTGAATGTAAAACTTTATCTACTAGTCAATCCAATTCCCCCAACAAAGAAACTACAGAAGAAAATCCTGTTATTTGACCTTGTCAGAGATCTCGTGAACTGGGTTTCCCCAAGACACTAGATATCATCCAAATCTGCTGCTGTTCCACATAAAGACTCTTAGCCCAATAGATCCTCAGGATATTGTTTGCAACTTGCCTGTTTGCAAAGACATACGGAATGACAATATTTCTATGTCCCCTCCCATGGACCAATAACATTACAGATTTATATATTCTCTCGTCTTCACTCTTGCTTCTCTCCCACTCACACAGTTTTAATAAACACTTGAGATGAGGAATTAAATGGAGGAAGAAAGGAGCAAACAGATATTACGGAAATTAGAAGCAAATTAGGATTCCTGGCAATTATCGTTGTAATACAACTAAGATTATTCTGAATAAGTTATACGTATTGCACTTTCTGATTAATATTTTGCACCAAGTCATCAAAGAAATACTGGTTGACAAAGTAGCTGTGTAAGTATACTGTATACAAAAACAATCATGAATTGATAGATAACCTGATAATATTTATCTGTACAGTATATAAAATTAATAAAACTATAAGAGGCAATAGTGCAGGTTGAATGGGAGAACATCTGGGTTTATCAACAATTTGTTGCAAAACAGAGGAAAAAAAAACAATCCATTCATTATGCTGTTTCCATGCAAACAGGAATAATACTCACCAGTAATAAGTGTGCCCACATATGGCTCCTGAGCATTGATCACGTAAGGTGCACTAAAGGCTGCTGGTGGTGCTGCCAGACCTGCCAAAGGAGACAATGATTAGAACCGTGAACATCTAAAGTAAGTACAGTACAGGTAAGTTAAATTGACCAAGTTAAGAAACTTAATATATAGTAGAAAACTATTAAAAGTTTTTTAAGGGATGTGGCCGAACTGAAAATAACTATAGGAGCTGAAAACAAATTTCAGGTGACAATCATAGCATGAAAGATACAACAGTTTTAATTATTATAATATTTTAAATAATGTCCTGTAATTTCAAAGCTCAATGTAAAGATAAGGAATACTGTACAGTAGTTCAGAAAAGAGCCTCACATGAACAAATATGGATGGTGGTACAGATGAACAATGGCATTAAATAACAAGGGGGTGGGACATTCATAAAAATATACTGCACTCTACACTTCTGGCAGATTTGCAATAAAAATAATAAAATGTAAAACCCAAAAAATTTATTCAGCCTGAAGAACAGAAACAATGTACAAGTACAGTACAGTACCTCTATCACTGCAAAGTAACATAATAAATACTACACCCAGCATCTACAGGTAACTTTCACCTGCATCACAGCTTACCAATCTAAATGTTGGCCAAGAACTTTCACCACTCTCTTCTCCCTCTGCCTTAGGGGATCTTTACTTCAGGAAAAAAGTGTTTCTTAACATGATGTTACTATTGTGTACCCTGTACTGGACATAAATCTCTTTCCTAAATAAAAGCAATGTAAGATAAGAGGAGAGGGAGGTGGAAGTGTGTCTACGACCATGTGGCACTGGGTAGGTAGGTCCATTACAGGTCCAATGTTTGTATCACCAAACATTAGTATGCAATGTTGTCTAATTGTACCATTGTAAAAAGTACTGCGTGTCTCATTGAAGGTACATTATACAGGCACTGACTACAGGGGTATATTGTTATTTTTGTGATAATTTTTAATAGTCCTTAAAGAATAAAAAAAAAAGTCAAAGGTTTAGTTATACAGTATGTTAAGAAATTCTCCTTTTTATGTATCTCACAAAGTCTGTTTTACACAATTATACTGTACCTGAATACAATATATATATATATATATATATATATATATATATATATATATATATATATATATATATATATATATATATATATATATATATATATATATATATATATATATATATATACACACACACACACTTGAAGTATTGTATCCATCTTTCTCCCTCCCTTAATCTCCATGACCATGACACAACTCTACATTTTGAGAACAGTGCCTGTACTTGTACACTATTAACTTGAGGTCTAACACACAGCGTAACCCCTTCTTGTAATTCCCATTTAAAGACTACATGCTACCTGATTAATGATTCCCATTTACAAACCAGTACGATCCAGTATTAAGTCAGTGAATATAACAAGGTTAGCAGGGAGGATCCCACATTAAAAAGCTACAATTACGAAAACAGTAGTGCTTGTACTGTACCAGGGGGATGTTGGTACAGTACCTGTAATAGCAATATTTGCCACAGCATCTGAAATTTTAATCTTGTGCACTAACAATCTCTCTCTGCCTTTGCAGACTAATAATAAATATCCTGATCTATGTAAAAAAAAACAATATCTGAAGGTTTTAAAAATGCACCCTGTATCTAAATAGCCACTGCTAGTTTTCCTAACATTATACTATATCATTACTCCACAAAATACACAAATATTCTTTGGCTATCAAAACTGAAACAGACACCTGATTTTGCTTCGGGGAATTAATAATGAAGCCTGACTATAAATACATAACATTATTTGTAACATTCTTAAGCAGTTATTATATGAAGTTGACAAACTTTTCACACTAATTGTAGCTCTCGACTCTTGAGTATCTGACTAGAGCAGGGGTCACCAAACTTTTTTCACAGTGGGCCGGATAACTGAAAGAATGACGAGCGCGGGCCGCATAATCATTCTGTTCAATACATGCAAGCCAAAACGAAAGCCATGGAAACCATGGTAACGTCAGAGCGTAGGCGGAGCTACCACGGCGGGCCTGATGAACTGATGTCGCGGGCGGGTCCGGCCCGCGGGCCGTAGTTTGGTGACCCCTGGACTAGAGGTATGACATATCAATCCCATTTCCCTTCAGTTACCAACTGTTACAAAAAAATTTAATTTACTATGTACAGCAAGTCCTCGTTTAGCGTTGCCCCCAATAACGTTGTTTCGTTATAACGTCGCTATTCTTTAGATACCCACGGACTACTTTGTATGGTGCATCACCCTCTCTCATCTTGGTGTGCTACGCTGTCACCAGCGGAGCATCACAGCGTCGCCAGTCTTTGTTAAGCTACCACAGCGTTCGTGCGTGTTTAAGTGTTGTTGCTCTTAATACTGTACTCTAACCATTCAAAGTGGCTTCCAAGCGCCCATCAAGTGCTACTGATGCTAATGTTGTGAAGAAGCAACGTAACACCATTAGCCTTGCTACGAAAATGGAGGTTTTAAACCAGGAGGAGGAGCCACCCGCCGGGTCTCAGTGACTCGCCACCCTCCTCCTCCTCTCCCGCCCTACTACCCACCACACACTCGCTCCACCACCTCCGTCCATCAGTGAGTACAATACAAAATGATTTAGTTTATTTATACAGTCAACCCTCACTTTACACGGTTAATGTAACCCACAGGGTACCGCGGAAAGTGAGAAACGCGTAAAGTGAATAGCATAACATGGGATTAAATGAAATAGAGACCAGCTGACCCCCAAACTCCACTTTTTCCAACACAATACCTATGTTCTAGTAAAAATAACATCTTAATTTTATGATGGTACATGCACACAATTAATACTTAAGAGAAATACAGTCGCCAAGTTAATGTCCATTCAAATAATGGACTCCACTCCCTCCCCCTCTTCTCACAGTACACTCCCTGGCTCTTCCCTCTGAGAAATTTTTGGGGGAAAACCAGGTATAGTAATAAATAATACCTCAAACTAAAGTTAGGATAATATAATTGACACTGCTGGATTCCTTGTAAGACCAGGAATATTTTGAATACAAATGTCATATATTTTGCACAAAAGATAACATATTTACTCAGAGTAAACATTATATCTAAAATTTGTATGTCTAATGCAAAATATATGTTGTTTATATTCAAAATGATCATCAAATTGTAAAAATTCCAGCAATGCAAATTATATTCTGGCCGGGTAATTTGTATGAATTTTATGAGCTAAAACAAGTATCTTCAGTTAATAAAAAAAAAAATATTCTTCACACGTGCCAGGTGGTCGGTCGCCCGTCCCTCCCTCCCTACCAGATGAATGTGTGGGAATACCAAACTGTTTACCTTTTTAGTAATAAATAATAAATCAGACTAAAGTTAGGATAATATAATTGACATTGCTGGATTCCTTGTAAGACCAGGAATATTTTGAATATAAATGTCATATATTTTGCACAAAAGATAACATATTTACTCAGAGTAAACATTATATCTAAAATTTGTATGTCTAATGCAAAATCTATGATGTTTATATTCAAAATGATCATCAAATTGTAAGAATTCCAGCAATGTAAATTATATTCTGGCCAGATAATTTGTATGAATTTTATGAGCTAAATAAAAAATTATACTTCACCCGTGTAAAGGGGGTACACCCACCGCGGAATGTGAGCATCCTGGGTCCTGGCAGGGCACCGTGGAAACGCGGAATGTGGGACCGCGTTAAGTGAGAGTTGACTGTATATATATTTTCTATAAAAATGCCATTGAATTTCTGTATATGTAATGTATTTTATGGGGCAAAGGGGGGCTGGGGGAACGTAACTCCCATATTTTATCTACTTCTTATGGGGAACATTGATTCCGTTAACGTCACGGTTTTCAGGAACGGAACCACGACGTTAAGCGAGGACTTACTGTATTACCTTTCCCTCCCTCATTGTGCTGAATTCTGATTCCAATTACATTTACAGCTTTTTCTAAGCAAAAGCTTACAATTCCACAAATTTCCTTACTGTACAGTAGGGTGGTCCAAATTATAGGGTGAAAATTTGAAAGTTGTTTGAACCAAGCGAGCACATGGTGCCCTCGTTGCACTTCATGTACACTAGCTTTGTATAAAAGTTGAAGAAAATTGGATGATGTTTAGGGGTCCCGCAAAACGTTTGCTCTGGTCACACAATTCAACTCGTCCATCACCAAGGATGAGACTCAGCATCTCCTGAAAGTTGTAGCTCAACACAGGAAGGATGTGCCCTCCATGTCAAAAGTAGCTCAACACAGGAAGGATGTGCCCTCCATGTCAAAAGCTGTCTTCCTGAAATACTTAGAATCTACAGACAACGATGCCTTTCCCTTTCCTTGAGCTTGAGATAACTATAATTTTTTTGTGACGACCTGGAAGTTGAAGTTGTGTGGGACCCCTGAATATTGAGATAAACTGAAATTTTGCCCGAAGACATGTTATGGGTAAAGGTATTAGGGCGACATGTCTAAATTAAAATTCTAACTTTTAATTTTTGGACCACCCTATGTGTACAGTGTATTAAATGCAATGCAGTTTTAGTCTGTATCCATTGAATTAATTTCTTGTTTTTTCTTATACAAGTCCAAATAGGTAAATTTCTGCACTTTTTTCACATATCCACTAATATATGTAAGTGAAGTTAAAGTAATTAATTTACTTGTAATGTGATTACTATATTTTACAATCTAGTGGCTGTGTATATTTGGTGTAATGAACCACAATTTTTATTTACAATTTATTTTTGCTCTAATTCTACTTTGAGGGAAAAATTAAAGTGCAGTCCTACATGTTTTTCACCAATCAAAATAATAGTGTGCACAGAGATACCCAACGGCAGCCCCTACACAGGTAAGTACCGTACAGTAAACAGATAATTCAATCCCTTACGTAGACAAAACATTGTATAAATAACCTACGACCCCCCCCCCTTTACTTTTCTTAGTTTTATAAAGTCAAAGTTCGTAAAATAATTGTCCAATTTGGAATTAATCATTTAAAATTTCTTAATACAGTACT